ACTTGAGCCAAGTACTTGAACCAAGTATCTGTTACTTCCAGCCTGGGCATTAGCAGGAAGCTGGATCAGAAACAGAGTAACTGGAACTCAAACCAGGCACTTGGATTTGGAAGGCAGGCATACAGAAGTGATGATTTAAGCCCTGTACCACACCCATCCACCCATGAAATTCTGATTTCTGTGATCAAAATGCCATTTACATCAGGTATGTGTTCCAGCTATTAGATATCAGTTAGGATGCCTAATGTCAGAATGCCTGGGTTCAACTCCCGGTTTCTGATTCCAGCTTCCTGCTGGTGCAGACCCTGGGAGGCAGAAGGGATGGCTCAAGTGTTGGGTTCATGCCACCCATGTGGCTGACCTAAACTGAGTTTCTGGTTCCTGACTTTAGCTCAATATAGCCTCAGTTGTTGTGGGCATTTGGAGAGTGAATCAGAGAGCAGGAGCTCTCTGTCTCAAATACATAAATGAATGTTTTTAAAATACCACTTAGAATCAATGTAATACATCACATTAATAAATTGAGAAACAAAAATCATATGATTATCTCAATAGATGCAGAAAAAGCATTTGACAAAATACAACACCCCTTCATGATGAAAACCCTAAGCAAATTGGGGTTAGAAGGAACATTCCTCAACACAATTAAGGCAATCTATGATAAACCAAAGGCCAGCATCATATTGAATGGGGAAAAGTTGGAGGCATTTCCATTGAAAACTGGCACCAGACAGGGATGCCCACTCTCACCATTGCTATTCAATACAGTCCTAGAAGTGTTAGCCAGGGCCATCAGTCAAGAAAAATAAATTAAAGGGATACAAATGGGAAAGGAGGAAGTTAAACTATCCCTATTTGCAGATGACATGATACTATATATAGGGGACCCGATAAACTCCTATAAGAGACTATTGGAACTCAAAGAAGAGTTTGGTAAAGTAGCAGGATACAAAGTCAGCGCTCAGAAATCAACAGCCTTTGTATACACAGATAAAGCCAGGGCCAAGGAAGAACTTCTAAGATCAATTCCATTCACGATAGCCACAAAAACAATAAAGTACCTTGGAATAAATTTAACCAAGGAGGTCAAAGACCTCTATGATGAAAATTACAAAACACTAAAGAAAGAAATAGAAGACGACACAAAAGAATGGAAAAACCTGCCATGCTCATGGATTGGAAGAATCAATATTATCAAAATGTCCATTCTCCCAAAAGCAATTTACAAGTTCAATGCAATACCAATCAAAATACCAAAGTCATTCTTCAAAGACCTAGAAAAAATGATGCTGAAATTCATATGGAGAAACAGGAGACCCAGAATAGCTAAAGCAATCCTTTACAATAAAAACAAGGCAGGAGGCATCACAGTTCCAGACTTCAAGGTGTACTACAGGGCAGTTATAATCAAAACAGCCTGGTACTGGTACAAAAACAGATGGATAGACCAATGGAACAGAATAGAAACACCGGAGATCAATCCAAACATCTATAACCAACTCATATTCGACAAAGGACCTAAAACCAACCCCTGGAATAAGGACAACCTCTTCAACAAATGGTGCTGGGAAAACTGGATGTCCACACGTCGAAGTATGAAGCAAGACCCCTACCTTACACCTTATACAAAAATCCACTCAACATGGATCAAAGAACTGGAGATGCACCACGACACCATGAAACTAATTGAGAGCATAGGGGAAACCTTCAAGATATCGGAATAGGCTAAGAATTCCTGGAGAAGACCCCAGAGGCACGAGTAAGCAAAGATAAAATAAACAAATGGGATTACCTCAAACTGAAGAGTTTCTTTTTTTTTTTTTTTTTTTTGGACAGGCAGAGTGAACAGTGAGAGAGAGAGACAGAGAGAAAGGTCTTCCTTTGCCGTTGGTTCACCCTCCAATGGCCGCCGCGGCCGGCGCACCGCGCTGATCCGATGGCAGGAGCCAGGAGCCAGGTGCTTTTCCTGGTCTCCCATGGGGTGCAGGGCCCAAGCACCTGGGCCATCCTCCACTGCACTCCCTGGCCACAGCAGAGGGCTGGCCTGGAAGAGGGGCAACCGGGACAGAATCCGGCGCCCCGACCGGGACTAGAACCCGGTGTGCCGGCGCCGCTAGGAGGAGGATTAGCCTAGTGAGCCGCGGCGCCGGCCAACTGAAGAGTTTCTTAACAGCAAAGGAAACAGTCAGGAAAGTGAAGAGGCAACCAACAGAATGGGAGACGTTATTTGCAAACTACACAACAGATAAAGGATTAACAACTAGAATCTATAAAATGATCAAAAAACACCACAGAATGAGCCGGCGCCGTGGCTCAATAGGCTAATCCTCCACCTTGCGGCGCCGGCACACCGGGTTCTAGTCCCGGTTGGGGCGCCGGATTCTGTCCCGGTTGCCCCTCTTCCAGGCCAGCTCTCTGCTATGGCCAGGGAGTGCAGTGGAGGATGGCCCAGGTGCTTGGGCCCTGCACCCCGTGGGAGACCAGGAAAAGCACCTGGCTCCTGGCTCCTGCCAGGATCAGCGCGGTGCGCCGGCTGCAGCGGCGGCCATTGGAGGGTGAACCAACGGCAAAGGAAGACCTTTCTCTCTCTGTCTCTCTCTCTCACTGTCCACTCTGCCTGTCAAAAAAAAAAAAAAAAAAAACAAAAAAAAACAAAAAAAAAAAACACCACAGAATCCAAACAAACAACCCAATAAAAAAATGGGCCAAGGACCTTAACAGACATTTTTCAAAAGAGGAAATCCAAATGGCCAACAGACACATGAAAAAATGCTCAGGATCCCTAGCCATCAGGGAAATGCAGATCAAAACCACAATGAGGTTTCACCTCACTCCGGTTAGATTGGCTTACATACAGAAATCAACCAACAACAGATGCTGGTGAGGATGTGGGGAAAAAGGGACACTAACCCACCGTTGGTGGAAATGCAAACTGGTAAAGCCACGATGGAAGACAGTTTGGAGAATCCTCAGAAACCTGAATATAGCACTACCACAGGACCCAGCCATCCCACTCCTTGGAATATACCCAAATGGAATTAAAGGGGAGAAAAAAAGAGCCATTTGCACCTCAATATTTGTTGCAGCTCAATTCACAATAGCTAAGACATGGAATCAACCTAAATGTCCATCAACGGATGACTGGATAAAGAAACTATGAGATATGTACTCTATGGAACACTATACAGCAGTAAAAAACAATGAAATCCGGGCATTCACAACAAAATGGGAGGAAGCTGGAAAACATCATGCTGAGTGAAATAAGCCAGTCCAAAAGGGACAAATATCACATGTTCTCCCTGATCGATGGCAACTAAACAAGCACCTAAAATGATACCCATTGAAGTGAAATGGACACTATGAGAGACAATGACATGAGCAGCCCTTGTCTAGACTGTTGAGGAACAACTTACTATTTTATTCCTTTAGTATTTTTGTTGTTGTTGTTGTTGCTCTGTGTGTTCTACATAAGACCACTGGTTGAACTCTGTAATCAATGCACAATCATTCTTAGGCATTTAAAATTAACAGAAAAGTGATCTCTGTTAAACACAGGAGTGGGAATAAGAGAGGGAGGAGATATATAGGATGGCACATGCTCACTCAGACTTACCTCCAATGGTGGAACTAGAAATGTGCCAGGGGATTTCAACTCAATCTTACCAAGGAGGCAGGTACCAATGCCAATGCACTTGGTAAAGTGATAAGTATAAATACACAACCGATCAAAAAGGGTATGTGTCGATGAGATTTCACAAATAAGACCAGTGTAAGCAAATAATGAAGGATAGAATTAAAAGGGAGAGAATGATCCTGTGGGGGAAACAGGACACACAGCAGACTTATAGAATGGCAGCACTCCTGCCTCAGAATCAACCCTTGGGACATTTGATCTGGCTAAAAGGTCCATGAGAGTCTCACGGGCATGGAAAGCCATGACACGTGGCAAAAAAACAATCTAAATGAAAGATCCTGGTGAACAAGACCTCAGCAGAAGGAACAGGCCATCAAGCAGAGAGGCGCCTTTCTCTGAAGGCAGGAAGGAACCTCCACTGTGATATGGCCTTGACTAAACAAGTTCAGAGTCGGTGAACTCAAGGGGCTTCCATAGCCTAGACAGCTCATAGCAAGAGTCTTGGGTGATTGCTGACGTCATAAATAAGAGTACCAATTGTTAAATCAACAATGGGAGTCACTGGGTACATGCTCCCCACGTAGGATCTCTGTCCTTAATGTGTTCTATGAAACTTAAAAACAACACTACTAGTCGAACAATACCCTATACCTTGTGCGGTTGTGTGAGTGCAGCCTGTTGAAATCCTTGCTTAGTATATACTAAGTTGATCTTCAGTATATGAAGGTAATTGAAAATGAAACTCGATGAAGGGCGGGATGGGAGAGGGAGTGGGAGAGGGGAGGGCCATGGGAGGGAGGGAGGTTGTGGGGGGAGCCACAACAATACAAAAGTTGCACTTTGTAAATTCACATTTATTAAATACAAAAAAATAACTATATAACAAACAAAAAAAGAACTTAATACTTTACCCTTTTAGTATTTTTTATGTTCTACTTAAAACTATTAGTTGAACTCTGTAATTAATACACAATTACTCTTAGGTGTTTAATTAATGCTATAACCAGTACTCAAATAGTATTTTACACTTTGTGTTTCTGTGTGGGTGCAAACTGTTGAAATCTTTACTTAATATATGCTAAATTGATCTTCTGTATATAAAGATAATAGAAAATTAATCTTGATGTGAATGCAAGGGGAGAGAGAGTGGGAGAGGGGAGTGTTGTGGGTGGGAGGGAAGTTATGGGGGGGGAAGCTATTGTAATCCATAAGCTGCACTTTGGAAATTTATTTTTATTTATTTTTAATTTTTTGACAGGCAGAGTGGACAGTGAGAGAGAGAGAGACAGAGAGAAAGGTCTTCCTTTGCCGTTGGTTCACCCTCCAATGGCCGGCGCACTGCGCTGATCCGATGGCAGGAGCCAGGTGCTTCTCCTGGTCTCCCATGCGGGTGCAGGGCCCAAGCACTTGGGCCATCCTCCACTGCACTCCCTGGCCACAGCAGAGAGCTGGCCTGGAAGAGGGGCAACCGGGACAGAATCCGGCGCCCCGACCGGGACTAGAACCCGGTGTGCCGGCGCCGCAAGGCAGAGGATTAGCCTAGTGAGCCGCGGCGCCGGCCTGTACTTTGGAAATTTATGTTCATTAAATAAAATAAAATATAAAAAGAAAAATGCCACGTAGGCCTCAGGAAAATACAACAATATTTAGTGACCTCCCAGTGCATGCAAAGCTCTGTGCTAGGCACTGAGTGTCAGGCTTCCAGCTGTTTCTTTAAACAGACGCCCTGTGGAAAACATGCCCGGGCCAACACTGTCATGAGCTTGGGTCCTCGAGTGCTCACCTTGACCTGTCTGTCTAAAGAGCTTCTGCACTCTCCTCATCAAGTGGCCTCCTATTGTGCTGTGTCTCTAGGGTCAGGCACGTCTGGTCATCTTGGCCACCACTAAGGCTCTCCTTAGAAAGGATTGCGGTTCTAGACTCTGTCTTCCTGCTCAAGCTGGGGACGAGGCTCTCCCACCTACCGTGCACCCCAACCAAATGAGTTAGTACTCTGCACTGCTGGCAGGACAGGACTACGGAGATGTGACAGCTTACAGAAATGGACGGCACATCCCAAGCCTTGCCGAAGCTTGCACTTGGATGATTGCGACGAGGGCTGGAAGAGTGACTGGAGAAGCTCCTACTTCCTTTGCAAGTCGTCTCCTTCTCCTCTCCAACTCTCTCTCTACTAGAAAAGTCAACAGGAGGCGAATCTGGGTGTCATGTAGGTGAGCCCAAGGCAGCCCATGTATTTTGGCCCCTAGGTTGTTTATTTCTTCACTGAAGGCTAAAACCTGTTAGCTTAAATGCCTGCTGGCACCGAGCTCAAATTTGTACACATCCAGTTATTTTTTAAATCGCCAAAGCCAGCAGATCCTTAGCCATTTAGAGCCTGACAGCTTTAAGTATCCCACAAAACTACAACCAGCATCTCTGGCCATTGATAAACAAAGCAAGGTGTTTCTAAGACTCCACACAGCTAGCTACTGCCTTCAGAGCAACCCAACCCAAGACTCCTTGTCATGCTGCTGAGTGACAGATGTCACGTGGGCACAGGTGCGCCCCCTCAGCAATTCCGTTCGCCCTGGGAGTTCCCTGGCAGCTCTTCTAACTGTTGACAGACAGTCCAAGAATCCTTCTGATATCTTTTCCCTCCCTCCTCCCCACCCTTTGAAGGAGTCTCTGTAACTTGCAAAGAAACCATGTTAACTGATGACAATACACAGCAGGACACAGCAAAACCAGGCATCTAGCCTAGCAGTCAAGCCACTGGTTGGGACGCCTGCATCCCAGACCCCGGAAGGCAGCGGTGACGGGTAATTGATCAAGATCTTGGGTCCCTTCCACCCACACGGGAGACCTGGATTGAGTTCCAGGTTCCTGTTTCAGCCGGACCTAGGCCCAGCCATTGTGGGCATTTGGGAAGTGACCCAGCAAATGGCAATGAGCTCTCTCCCTGATTCTCAAATAACTAAATTAAAAACTTTTTTTTTAAAGGGCTCAGCACAGGGAAAGATGAATTTCAAGCACCGGTGATCAGGGAAGACTTCATGGGAAAAGGGAAGTAGGAACTGCAGTTGGGCCTTGAGGAGTGAGTTCTTCCCCATCACTTGCCTCCCGAGGTACATACTGTGGGCTGGGCTGGAGGAGGTGGTAGAGCAGGAGGGGCGGAGAGGGCGGAGGTCAGGCAGGAAGCCTGGGCCCCACCTGTGGATGCTGAGGCTGCAAGCCAGGGGGTCTCAGGACATTGGAGGGAAGCCAAGTCTGCCTCCTGGACATCCCGAGGGGTTCACAGCCATGGTGAGCGCAATGTCCGGGCGAGGGGCAGAGGCGATGTGTGTCTGTTCATCCTACCTCCCCGACCTCCCAGGAAGCTCGAATACCTGGGGAGGGGACTGGAGAAAGGAGCTCCAGGGCCGGAGCCTGTGGACACTGAGGCTGTTGGAAAGGCACTGTGCCTCTGGTTGAGGACATCTGGGACCAAAGATGTTGGAGAGGGTTTGAAGGAGGAGAGCTTTGAGCCAGGTGATCAGGCGTGAAAAGCCTGCCATAGGATAACGATGCCACCAATGGGAACAGAGCCCAGAGCCCCCAGTTCCTCAAGGAATGACAAGACTCAGGACTGGGAATGACCAGGGAGGGAAGGAAGGCAGAGGGACTCGTTAGGCCAAGGGGTAAAGCCAAGGGACATCTAAGGACCTACTGCCAGGGATAGACTCTGCAAGCTGGGAAAGATGAGGGTTTTGATTCCAATAATAGCCGAGTAGTTTGTAACGGACAGTCCTCTTGCCAATAGCTACCACCCTTAGCTTAAAACACAATCAGCGGCCGGTCTTGTGGTGCAGCAGCCTAAGCTGCCTCTTCAATGTTGGCATCCCATGCTGGCGTGCTGGTTCAAGCTGTGGCTGCTCTGCTCTTGATCCGGCTCCCTGTTAACACACCTGGGAAGGCAGCCGAGGACGGCCCATGTACTCCAGAGGCCCAGATGAAGTTCCTTGCTTCAGCTTGACCCAGATCTGGCTGTTTTGGCCATTTGGGGAGTAAACCAGCAGGTGGAAGATATCTCTCTCTCTCTCTCTCTCTCTCTCTCTCTCTCTCACGCTCTGCTTTTCAAATAAATAAATAAATCTTAAAAAAAATAAGGCAACAAACAAAAACACAACTCACATGAAGGCAGTGAGGAGCCCAACAGCAGCAAAATGACAAGAGTCTACATTTAAAAGAAGAAAAGGGTAACAGGAGGAATTTCTAGATTTTATAAAAGATCCCAGGCAGGGCACTGAAAATCTGCATGGAGACCCAAGGCCTTGAAGAGCCAGAAAACAGCATTTGGGACAAACACAGAAGTTAGAAAGTGATGGGTGGAATGCTCAGCTTGGGAGGGCAAGACCCAAGTTTTGTGTAAAACCTGCCCAAATCTGTGGCCGTACACACGTGGGGAAGAAGATAAGGGGACAGGTTAAAGCTAAAAAAACTGAAAGGAGATTTAGCTGCTGCCCAATACAAGGAAGAGAGGAGTTAGAACAGGTCAATACAGAATCCAGAGTCTCTACAATGTATTGTTCTGAATATCCAGGTTATAATCCAAAATGGTTGGACCAATGAGGAAACCAGGAAATAGAGTCTGTAGTCAAGAGACAAGTCAAAGGCAACAATTAAGACTGGCTCCAAGATGACCACATGGTGTAAGTAACAGATATGAATTATAAAAAACACATTAGGCCATTGCCGCGGCTCACTAGGCTAATCCTCTGCCTGTGGCGCCAGCACACCGGGTTCTAGTCCCAGTCGGGGCGCCAGATTCTGTCCCGGTTGCTCCTCTTCCAGGCCAGCTCTCTGCTGTGGCCAGGGAGTGCAGTGGAGGATGGCCCAGGTGCTTGGGCCCTGCACCCCATGGGAGACCAGGAGAAGTACCTGGCTCCTGCCATCGGATCAGTGCGGTGCGCCAGCCGCAGCGCGCCGGCCACGGCGGCCATTGGAGGGTGAACCAACAGCAAAAGGAAGACCTTTCTCTCTGTCTCTCTCATTGTCCACTCTGCCTGTCAAAAAATAAAAAATAAAAATAATAAAAAACATATTAAAACTATGCACATGATATTTTACCATATGACATAAACAGAAATATGCTCATAATAAAGAAAAAAAACAGAAGGTCTAAAACTTAAATTAAAAATTAGATTAAATTATAATGTAAATACAAACAAAGTATGCAATGAAAATTGTCTCTGAATGGACTTCAAGCAGAATGTGAAAACAGAAGAGTCTATAAACTCAGATAAAATAAAGATCCACCCAATCTGTAAGACTGAAAAAGAAAAAGAACCTTGAACACTATACCTGGGGACCTGAATTGGTCTATCTCTGTATCTCTCTATTTCTCTATTTACCTACCTATGTACCTATTTACCTATCTATCCACCCATTTCTCCACTGGTATATAGCAATTAAAATCTGAGAAGGAGAGGAAAGGACAAAGAAAGAAGAATAAGGGACCAAGATTACTTGCAGAAATAATGGCTACAAACTTCCCAAATTTGTTTAAAGACATACATATTCACGTTTAAGATGCTCGGTAAATGCCAAGCAAGATACATACAACGAAAACACACTTAGTTACATCACAGTAAACTTTTGGAAAAATAGAGATTAAAAATGAAATAAAACAAAGCATGGTGAATGTAACCAGAAGGGGTAGAAGACATATTTATATACACAGAAGTGCTTGGGCCACTGCACCCACATGGGAGACTTGGGTTCGCGTTGGCTCAGCTCCGACCATTACAGCCATCTGAGGAGTGAGCTAGTGGATGGAAGAGCTTTCTCTGTCTCTCACACTCTGTCTATACCTCTGCCTCAAAAATAAATAAATAAAATCTTAAAAAAAAAAAGTGAATACTTTCAGACATACAGAAGTTGAAAGATTCATTACCAGCAAAACAGCACTGTAAAGAAATGGAAATCTGGATATACAGAAAAGATTGAAAAGTATCAGAAACAATGTAGATTCATATAAAATATTTTCATATAAATTATTTAAATCTCTTAGAAAGACAACTGTCTATATGAAGAAAAATAGTAACACTAGCCTTTTAACAGTGGGCTTTATAAGAAACATAGAAGTAAAACCTATGATGATGACAGTTGGACAAATGCCTGAGGAAATAAATAGCAATGTAGGGGCCGGTACTGTGGCACAGCAAGTTAATGCCCTGGCCTTGAAGCGTTGGCATTCCATATGGGTGCTGGTTCGAGACCTGGCTGCTCCTCTTCCGATTTAGCTCTTTGCTATGGCCTGGGAAAGCAGTAGAAGATGGCCCAAGTCCTTGGGCCCCTGAACCCACGTGGGAGATCCGGAAGAAACTCCTGGCTCCTGGCTTTGGATTGGTGCAGCTCTGGCCATTGCGGCCATCTGTGGAGTGAACCATCGCCTCTCTCTCTTTCTGCCTCTCCTCCCTGTGTAACTCTGACTTTCAAATAAATGAATAAATCTTTCAAAAAATAACATAAAAATAAAAAATAGCAATGTATGCTTCTAAGATTACTTTGTTAAAAGAAGATGTATTTTATTTATTTGAAAGGCAAAGTTACAGAAAGAAATATAGAGAGATATCTTCCATCTGCTAGTTCACTCCCAAAATGGCCACAATAGCCAGTGCTGGGCTAAGCTGAAGCTAGGAGCCTGGAGTTTCATCCTGTCTCCCATGTGGGTGGCAGGGCCCAAGCACTTGGGCCATCCTCCACTGCTTTCCCAGCCTCATTAGTAGGGAGCTGGATTGGAAGTGGAGCAGCCAGGACTTGAATTCCCACTCATCTGGAATGACAGCATAGCAGGCAGCTCAACTGCTATACCACAATGCTGCCACTCCCCCTGCCCCCAGCATTTTAACACTATACATTCATTAGTATAATACCATCTGAAAATAGACAGTGATATGCTAAAGATACATACTACAGGGGCCGCCACTGAGTCTCAGTGGGTAAAGCCGCTGAATGCAGTGCCGGTATTCCTGATGGGCGCTGGTTCCCGTTCGGGCTGCTCCGCTTCCAATCCAGCTCCCTGCTAATGCACCTGGGAAAGCAGAGGAAGATGGCCCAAGTGCTGGGGCCCCTCACCCACAGGGGAGACCCTGAAGAATCTCTTGGCTCCTGGCTACAGCCTGACCCAGCCTTGGCCATTTCGGTCATCTGGGGAGTGAACCAGCAGATGGAAGACCTCTTTCTCTGCCTGCCTCTGCCTCTGCCTCTGCCTCTCCCTCTCTGCAACTCTGCCTTTCAAATAAATAAATAAATATTTATGCATAAAAAACCATATATTCTACGAATGCTAATGCAACCATTAAAATAATATTTTTATTAAAATAAATCAAAGAGAATAGCTATTAAGTAAAACAGGAGCTAAAATGGGGTCAAGAAAGAATACTCAATCCCAAAGAGGCAGAGAGGAAGAAACAAAGACCAGGCCGAGAAGATACAGAACAAAAGACAAAGTGATCGATTTTAAACTCAACCAAATCAATAATCAGAGGAAATGTAAAAGATCTCAATAACCCAATTAAAAGTCAGAGATTGTCAGGGTGGGCGTTTAGCCGTGCAGCTAAGATACCTGTTGGCACTATTTCCCACATTGAAGCACCTGAGTTCGATTTCCAGCTTTCTGCTTACAGATCTAGGAGGCAGCATGACGGCTCAAGTACGTGGATTCCTGCTACCTACGTGAGAGACCTGAACTCAGTTCCTGGCGCCCAGCTTTGGCCCCAGCTGTAGCCATTAGAGGCATTTAAGGAGCAAAGCCCAGCTTTCTCTCTCTCTCTCTCTCAAATAAAGGAATAGCTTTTTTTTTTTTTAAAGAGATGTTCAATGGGACAAAAACACAAGAATAAACAAGAATATTCTGCTTACAAGAAATCCACGTTTAGGGCCGGCGCCGTGGCTCACTTGGCTAATCCCCCGCCTGCGGTGCCGGAATCCCATATGGGCACTGGATTCTGTCCCAGTTGCTCCTCTTCCAGGCCAGCTCTCTGCTGTGGCCCGGGAAGGCAGTGGAGGATGGCCCAGGTGCTTGGGCCCTGCACCCGCATGGGAGACCAGGAGGAAGCACCTGGCTCCTGGCTTTGGATCAGCACAGTGCCAGCCGTAGAGGCCATTTGGGGGTGAACCAACGGAAGGAAGACCTTTCTCTCTGTCTCTCTCTCTCATTGTCTAAATCTACCTGTCAAATAAGTTAAAAAAAAAAAAAAAAAAAAGAAATCCACATTTGGGGCTGGTGCTGGGGCGTAGCAGGTAAAGCTGCCACCTCCAGTGCCAGCATCCCAGCTGCTCCACTTCCCATCCAGCTCTCTGCTATGGATGGGAAAGCAGTAGAAGATGACCCAAGTCCTTGGGCCCCGGCACCCACGGGGGAGACCTGGAAGAAGCTCTGGCCCAGCTCCAGCTGTTGTGGCCATTTGGGGAGTGAACCAGTGGATGGAAGACTTCTTTCTCTCTGCCTCTGCATCTCTGTAACTCTCTGCCTTTAAAATATACAAATAAATCTTTTTAAAAAGAAAGAAATCCACTTTAAATGTAAAGACACAATTAGATTAAAAATAAAAGGATGGGAGAAGACATACCTTATTAACATTAATCAAAAATAAGCTGGATGGCTCTATTAATATAATATAGATATTAATATTAGATTTCAAGCAGTAGAAGGAGCAATTTACACTTATACAAAGGTAAATCAATCAAAGGAACATAACAACTCTAAATGTCCACTTTAAATTTACTGAAAGAACAGAACAACCCTAAATGACCACTTTCGAAGAAAAGTAATAGAATGGCAAGGATAAATAGGGAAATCCACAATTACAGGCTGAGATTTCAGTAACCTCCTCCAATAACTGATAGAACAAGCAGACATCAAGTCAGTAAAGACACAGAAGCCTTCGACAGCACAACCAACCAAACTGACACAAGGTCAAAAACACTATCCTCAATTACAGAACCTCACGTTCAAGTGCACATGGAACACTTATGAACACAGATCACAAAGTATCAATAAATGTGAAAGGATTCAAGTCCTACAAGAGATGTTCTTTAGCCATAATGAAATTGAATTATAAATCAGTAGCAGAATAGTATTCGTAAAATTCCCAAATATTTTAAAACAAACTAAAATTGTCCCCTTCATCCATGGGGATATGTTCCAAGACCGTTCCAAACCCCCAGTGGAATGCCTGAGCCCTATGTACATCATATTTCTTCCTATACATACATGCCTATGGCAGAGTCTAATTTGTCAGTTAGGCACAGTCAGAGATTAACAGTAATAACTAATAATAAAGCAGAGCAATTGTAATCACGTTAGCACACGGTAATAAAACTTCTACGATTGTGGTCTCTCACTCTCTTAAAACACCTTTTTGTGCTGTAGATCTTAACAAACTCAGCATATGATTGTTTTCTTTTCTTACTCAGTTGAGAACTGTTACCTTTTCACTTATAGGAAGCATTTCATGGCTTTTCGTTGGCATATCCAAATTGCTGGCAATGTCACCCTGAGCTTTGGGGCCGTTGTGAAGTAAATAAGGGTTATCTGCAATATTACAACAGTCAATCTGATGACCAACATGACTACCAAGTGACTAAAATGGGTGGGTAGCATATACAACATGGATATGCTGGACCAAGGGACGATTTACACCCT